CTTCAATGTTTGTGGGAGGTCCTCCCTGAGTCTAGGAATGGTGCATCACACAGAAGGTAAAACATGGAGAGGGGACAGTGATTGTGGGATGATGAGAGGAACATACTAGGTCAGAAAGAAAATGATGAAGTAAATTGGAAAAGACACTGGTTTACTTTAGAATGCCTTCATAAGTGCAGGCATGGTCCATTAGGGATCCCAGACCATGGCAACATGTAGATGTGGTGTGCTCGAAGCGAAAACACTGAGCTATCAGAGAGAGAAGAATCAAAATCCAAACTCCATTCTCAGTCTTCGCAACTGAGCATACTTTACCCAAACATCTTGAAATCTCAAATACCCTGAAATCTAACTTTTCAGGTGATGCCATATTGCCCTAGGTTTTTTTTCCTTTTGTAATTTCATATACTGTAAAATCTGAAATACTGAAATATGGCAGTCAGAACCGTTCCCAGTCCTAAGCACTTTTTAATTGAAATATTCAATTTGTAGTCACATTTATTAGAGGTTATAAATGAGAAGCTGTGACCTATGATTTGTAGGTCCACAATGGACCAGAACAAACACAATTTTTCTCTGTACAGAGTCAGTCTGTGCTGCTATATGTGAAAGCCTACCCTTCATTTGTAGAGCTTTTCATGGATCCCATAACTCAATTATTCTTTGACTCCCACTGTCCCTGTAGCCATGTGTGAAGCCTTTTCTTCTCCCTCTTCACCTTCTAAGTACCTAATATTGGGAAGTACCTAATTCGGAGATTTATTTAAATTCCCATAGGTCATTTCCTTACTAGATTTCCTTTGTTGGCTTTTGTGCTCCACTAATTTCAAACCAGGGATCTCAGGTTCCTGGAGGTGAAGAAACTCTTGGGAAACTATGGGATTTAGAGGCTGCCGAAGACTCCATTCATTCCTTCATCTCTTACTTTGTGGTTCATTGACTGCTATTGCATGCTAGCCCCAAAGTTGAGGGATGTTGTGGGATATTTGTTTACACTGTGATGTGTCTTTGCAAAGGCTCCCTCTGATTGTTTTAATAAAGAGCAGAATGGCCAATAACTCAGCAGAAAGAGGTTAGGCGGGACGTCTGGGGACAGAGAGCTCTGGGAAGGAGAAAGGTGGAGTCATCAGCCAGATGCAGAGGAAGCAGGATGGGCAGTGCAGAGTAAAGGTGATGGAGCCACATAAAAGAATGTAGGTTAAAAGATAGGGGTTAATTTAAGGTAAAAGAGCAACTTAGGAACAAGCCTAAGCTAAGGCTGAGCCTTCATGATTAATAATAAGTCTCTCTGTTGTTATCTGTGAGCTGACAGCTTATAGAAAAATCAGTCTACATAGGAAAATGCAGACAAGGTGCCATCTTGCTCTGGTTGGATGGGAGTCAGAAGGTAATGCAGGAAGTTTTGTCTTGGGTGATGTATTAGTTACTTTCTCATTGTTAACGAAAAGTTAAAGGGAGAGGTTTCATTCTCACATTTCGAGGAATGCATCCAGTATGGTGGGCATGAAAGGCAGGACAGTAGGAGCAGCTTGGTCTGTGGCACTGACAAGCATCCATTGGGAAAAGCATCCTTTCCCCATTTTATTTGTCCTGGGGCCCCTATCTTATGGCACCGTGCTGACCACATTCAGGATGGATCCTCTTTTGTCAGTCAAACCTCTGGAAGCATCTCCCAGACACACCCAGAGAGTGCTGGATACTTCAGAAGGACAAGAAATCTGTAAAATTTTGCAGAGACTGAGGTTTCTGAAAGGAATAATGTCTGAGGTAAAATGTTGAGAAATGGTTCCATTCTGTATGCAGGAATCAGTAACTGAAAAGAGGTAGGTGAGAGAGAGTCAACTTACCTGGAGCTTAGAGCTCCGAGTTTTCCATCAAGTGTAGTCGAGCACGATCGGAAAATATTATTGTGTAGTAAGGAACTAAGAGGGAGGAGGAAGGAATTCAAGCAAAGAGAGAGAAACATTCCCATAAGTAATATTCTGAAACAAAATATAGTATTTGTTGTAATTTCTCTATTATTGCTAATCTCTTACTATGCTAACTCGCAAGTTAAATGTTATCATAGGAACATACTTATAGGAATAGCATAGTGTGTGTGCAGAGTACATGTGTACTTATAGGAATAGCATGGTGTGTACAAAGTGGGTGTAGATATATAGGAACAGCATAGTGTGTGCACAGAGTGGGTGTGTATGTATGGGAGCAGCATGTGTGTGCACAGAGTGAGTGTATATGTATGGGAGCAGCATGCATGTGCACAGAGTGGGTGTGTATGTATGGGAGCGGCATGGTGTGTGCACAGAGTGGGTGTGTATGTATGGGAGCGGCGTGTGTGTGCACAGAGTGGGTGTGTATGTATAGGAGCAGCATTATGTGTGTACAAAGTGGGTGTGTATGTATGGGAGCAGCATGCGTGTGCACAGAGTGAGTGTGAAGATATAGGAACAGCATGGTATGTACAGAGTTCAATTGTCTGCATAGTTCAGTATCACCTGAAATATTTGAATTTATTTCAAATATTCAGAAGCTGATAAGGGGTTCTCCTGCAGTAAGGCAAATAAAATTCATTGAATTTGCCTGCAATGTGCAGTGCCACTGTGAATTGCAGTGGCTGAAACTACACAGGGGTAGTTGGTGCAATAAACCACAGTTGGGAGTGGGTGCTTCCCAGAGTGCCACAGCGTGCTATCTGAAAGGCAGGAAGCGGCCTCTGGGTGCTGGGTCTGGACCGTGGCGAGACACATTCCGCCAGTGCATCGGGAAGGATAGGCTGCCAGCTGTGGGGCTTGTCACAGTCTGCTGAAGCAGAGCGTTAGCCGAGGCAGCAGGGGAAACTTTTATTCGGCCTGTGCAGTAATGCTGTGAAGGAATTGAAACCCTTTCTAGAGGAGAGCTAAAAACAGTGCGGAGAGGGGAAGTGGAATTTGCTGTCTTCCATTTTCTAGATACAGCCAGCTGACCTCTTTAACATCTCAGAAACCTGATCAGGTGAACACAGACTGGGCATCCATGTGAGCCCAGGCAAGCCTTGATTTCATTAAAATTGTATGCTTTTTTACCCCTTTCTGCCAACTCATGGTACTCAAAAAAATCTCCATTTTTTTTTAGACCTTTCCTCCCTAAGTTTTGAATAATTCTAGTGTCTATACACTAAAATTTAGTGTAAATTCTTAAGTCCCTGAAAATACAAAACGTAGCTCATGATCCTTTCCTAGTGGTCTGGGTTTACAAATCAGAAGACACTAGAAGGGAAGGGAAGGACGCTTCCAGAAAATGGAATCACTTCCATCAAGCAGGCACTTGTGGTGTCTGAAGGGGTCAAAGTAGCCCAGTATGCTGACGGACACAGCTGCATCTTTACTAAACATGGTTTCTAGCCCCTTCCACATGTTTACTTTCAAGCGACTCTCTTACAAGTACAAGATTTCTGCCGGCCCAGAGTGGTGATGGATATGGGTGGGAGCTGATGGCCAAGTATCCAGAGCTCGGGGTATGGGAGCAGGTAGTTGAGACCCAGGCCCTTTCAGTCACTGGATAACCCTGAACTTGGCAGCCTCCCTCTTTGCTGCGGTCCCTCAGGTGGCTTCATTGTTTCTATTACCTTGGTAGAAAGAGTATGTGAGGGCCTGGCCTGGCTGGCGGCCTCGTCGCCATGGAAACTTACATTCCACTCACCTGATTCACACATCATGCTTGGCTAAATCCAGACAGAGGTCACAGACTGGCATTTGCCCTTTGGTTTCCCCGTCTTGTGTTTTCCAGTCACTCGGTGGATAGAGAGATGGGCAGTGGGCAGCTTTGGGATAAAGCTTTGCCTGAATGAAGGACGTTTGTGAATTTCCAGAAAAAAACAAAACAAAACAAAAAAAGACTGGTAGCTGCGAAGGGCAGAGCAGAGGTGCTGGGGAAGTCTGGGTAGATCCGAGCTTCTCCCTGCAGGCAGCGTCAGTCCTGGGTTGCATCTGAAAGTGATTTTCTGGGTTCCCGGGTGAGCGTGGAAATGAGTCTAGCAGATTCCGGAGCTCTGGCTCCTTGGGGGGTTTTCTGTCCCATTTCACTGAGTTGCCTAATAACCTCAGCGCCAGGGCTGCTCTTCAGGATTGCAGTGTGGGCTGAGGCACACATTAGCCGCAGCTGTCTATTAAGAAGCAATGATTTGATGATCTGTCTCAGACCCTGACTTCGTTTTGCTCATGGATAATATTTCCGAAGGCAGACACAATCCGTAGGACGTTCTTTCTCAGCAAAGTTAACGTGTATGAAGAAGGCTTCCGGTTTTCCTTGAACTTTTTCTCCTTTTGCTTATATCACAGATTTAGAGAAAAGGAGATGATAAGAAACCGATTATTAATCTTTCCCAGACTGAATTTCTTCTTGTTTGTTTAGGTGGCACTCAGAGTTGAAGCTCGGGCCTTTTGCACACTGGGCGAATGCTCAACAACTGAACCATATCCCAGCCCTCGGTTTTGTTTCTAGGGTTAAATTTTAAAGGTGCTTTTAAAAAGAGAATAAAAGGGTATTCATGGGACATGACGTCCGCCCTCATGCACTGAGATTTTGATATCATAAATGATTTGTGGACATGCCTGGAATGTCTCTCAGCGCAGTGTAGCAGGAGTGTCTGCACACCTTCATCTCCCACCTTGCATTTCCCTCGTGCTTGTTCGTTCTCCATTTTTGTCAGCCTCAGTCAACAAAGCACACGCTGGCCTTCAGCAGTAGCGCGCCAAACCTGAGTCTAAAATATCTCCTCCCGGTATCCTGGAACAAATTATTTTAGCTTATTAAATTTAGTTTACTCATCAGTGTTTATAGGAGGAGATTTTTATGAAAATAATCATAAATTTCAGTGTCACTAAGACAGTATTGCTGCATATCCACTGTGGTTCCTGTCCTGCTAGATCTCTTCAGAAACAGCACTGATATGAGAGAACATTCTTGCCGTCTGAATAATTGGGCTTCCCCCAGCTTTGCTCATGTGGGATGTATGAAGCTTAGTAGGTAGATCGGGGGCTGAGAGAATGAGTATTTAAAACGTAGACTGGAAACACTCTTTCTCTCGCCGTTATATATTCACTTGGTCCTTTTGGGAATTTCATTGTAGGTTCCTATTGAAGAATAAGAAGGTTATACTCTTCTCAGAAGATAAATTGTCACCCCGATACTGGTTCAGAGCGTCAGCAGTGGCCTTCCACCACATTTTCCGAAGTTGTGAAGGTATGAGTGTGAATTCTGAGGACAAACATCCGAGGTCCACTTTGCTTTTGGCATCGCTCTCCTTCCTCTCTCTTTCTTGGTGCTTTTCTTCTGCTCGTTCTTCCCTTGCTTCTCCCTCTCCCCCAGGTCTTCCTTCTCTTCCTCTCACAGTTATATGGACCATAGCATTGATCCCCATTAAGATGTCTGGGGACATTAAGTAGTCACACACTTTAATGTAGCCCTCGCTCCTATCCTCCCCCATCATTGCTTCATGTTTCCTATTGGAAACCGTTGTACACTCATTCCTCATCCCCACTTCACCCCAGTCCCCGAGACCAACCATGCTTTTTGTCACTGTGAAACTGGCTACCATAAATATAGAAGTTGTATGATGATCATGTGTATGTCTATACACATACATCTTTAAATGATGTACATGTGTGTGTACCTATGTGAGTTTATGTGGAACACATGTGTGCATGAGCCCACAGAAGCCAGAAGTTGGTGTTTTATCCTGTAAGAATTACACATAGCTGTGATATGCCCAGTGTGGGAGCTGAGAACTGAACCCCAGTTCTCTGCAGTAACAGTAAGTGCTCTAGCTGCCTACCCATCTCTCCAGCTCCTCACGTGTGTGTATGTGCATGCGCACATGTGTGTGGTCTTTAAAAGAAGTTAACATTCCAAAACCTTTGACTGTTTTTATTCAAATTGTTTTGTTATGTTGAATTTTAGTTGTTTTAAAATTTGTAATCTGAATATTAAAATTTTATCAAATACACAGTTTGTAAATGTTTCTGCTTTTCCCTGGGTTACCGTTTCACATTGTTACTATTATTGTTTGATGAAGAAAGTTTTACATTTTTTTCACGAAATACAATTTGTCTATATTTGTTGTTGCCTATCTATGTTTTTGGTATCTTGTCTAAAAAAAACCTTGCTAAACATAGCATCATAAAAGTCATAAAGATTTGTTTAGATTTTCTCCTAAGAGTTTTAAGTCTATGTTTTAATTTGAGTTAACTTTTGTACTTGGCATTAGATAATGGTAGATAAGGTTCTTTTGCATGTCCATACCCAGTTTATACCATTTGTTGAAAACTACACTTTCTCTGCTGAGGAATTCTATGTGTCACTTCTACAACAAACAAAAAGCAACAACAATAAAGAACAAAGCAAAACAAAACAAAAACCATTTGGTCATCCCCATAAGGAGTGCTTTGAGTGTGAAATGTGTCTCACAGGCTCAGATGATTGCCACTTGGTCCTCACCTCGCGGCCCTGGTGGGGAGATTGTGAAACCCTGATGAGGCAGAGTGTAATTGAAGAAAGTGGGTGTCTGGGAGCAGGCCTTGAGAGCTTTATAGTCAGCCGTACTTCCTGTTCAGGCCCTGCTTCCTGATGGGGAATGCAAGGTGGTCACTCCAGCTCCTTCCTACTTCCGTGTCTTCTCCACCATAGTGAAATAATCTTCTAGAGGCTCGAAGCAGCCATTCTCTCCTTAAATTGTTTCTTGCCAGGCATTTGGTCACACAAGAAAAAGGAACAAATGCAGGGACTTTCTTTCCTGTACCCTCATCTGGTTTTCATCCTTCTATGGATGCGCTGTGTCAGTACCACTGTACTTTGGTTGACAGAGATTGTTCATAATTTTTTGCATATGTGTGCATGCATGATGCGTGTGTTTTTGAACATATATGTTCACATATGTTTGTGGGTGTACTTGGCTGTAAGGCCCAAGGTTGACATTGGTTGTCTTCTTTCGTCACTCTCTACTTTATTCTTTGAGGCAAGGTATCTCAGTTAGACCCAGAGCTCAGTGATCAACCACTCTAGCTAGCCGACTCGTCTCAGATACTCCCTGTTTCTGCCTTCAGAGGGCTGGAATTATAGGCACTCTGCCATGCCCTTCCAGTTTCTTACATGGTATTTTAGTCAGTGTTCTATTGCTATGAAGAGACTCCCTGATCATCATAACTCTGTTAAAAGAAAGCATTTATTTGGGACTGGTTTTCAGTTTCAGAGGTTTAGACATGGCAGGGAACCTGACAGCACCCAGGAAGATACGGTGTTGGAGAAGGCACTGAGACTTTTTCATCTGGGTCAAAAAGCAGTAGGAAGGAGCCTACTATGGGCTTTTGAAACCTCAAAGCCCACCCCCAGTGACACACGTCCTCTGACAAGAATACTCCTTCTAATCCTTCAAACAGTGCCACTCCCTAAGCATCCAGATAGATGAGTTTATGAGGCTCATCCTTATTCAAACCACTCCACATGAGCTCTAAGGATCCGAGTTCTAGTCTTCATGGTGAGATAGCACGCAGTCTACCCCCTGAACCACTCACCAGCCCAAGTTATAGGGATCTGACTTCATCTAGCTTTGTTCCTTCTCAAGACTGTTTTGACTCCTTTCTTGTTCTTTATAATTCCATGTGAATATTAGACTGCTTTTTTTCTATTTCTTAAAAAATCATTTGGATTTTGACATAGATTTCATTAAATCCATATAATGTCATGTGTATAATTGACATCTCTGCATGATTAATTGTTCCAATCCATGAACATAGAATATAATTTCATTAATGTTTTAAATTTCTTTGACCAATGCTTATACAAATCTTCACCTTAATAAGTAGTAAGTGTTTCATTATTTTTATATTACTGTAAATAGAACCACGTTTGTAATTTCTTTTAGATAGTGTTCATTGTTTCTGTAGAGAAATGCAGAAATGATTTTTGCACAGAGTGAAGATCTGAAGCTCATCTACCTGTGTTGCTGGCCTCCTTGCTTCCCTGGCAGACTTGGCTGGCAGATTCCCAGGCAATGCCTGCCGGATTTGGGGCTGGGATAAAGGGATGAGTGGTGAAAAGGATGTTTGGAGGGGAAGATCTGCGTGATCTATCTGATCTATCGGAGGGGAAGACTGGGAGGAAGTGGGGGCTACAGCAGGTGGTCTGCCAAGGAGCTGGGGATGGGACTAGGGGATTAGATTTAGAAAGAAGGGTAAGATGAAGAGCTGCAGCTATGCTCCCTGCTTCTCTGGCTAGAGTTCCTCTTTTATTTCTTTTTCTGTTCGAGCATCCCCAGCACCATTGAGAAGAAAGTGCATCAAAGAATTATACTTTCCTTCTTGACTTCTTGCTGATCTAAGAGTTTTTTTTTTGTTGTTGTTGTTGTTGTTTGGTTTTGAAAAAGGGTCTCACTATGTTTCTCAGTCTAGGCTCATACTTGATGTGTATGGCAGGCTGGCCGTGAACTCAGAATCTTCCTGCACGTCCTCCAGAGTGGTAGGCTTATAGGCCTGCAGCACCACCATGCTTAGCTTCTTACGGATCTGAAAAGAAGATTTTTCAATCCTTTGCCATTGATTGCAATGTCCCCTATAGGGTTTTTGTTTTCATATATAGCTTTAATTACATTGAGGTGATTCCCTTTGCTTCCTAGTTTATTGAGTGTTTTCATCAAGAAGGGCATTGGATTTTTTTTGGGGGGGTGTCCTTTTTCTTTTGTAGTACTTGTGGGAATCATATAATTTTTTGTCTTTTTTTTCCTATTAATATCATTTATTACCCTGATTGGTTTTAGTGTCTTGAACCATCTGACTTTCCCTTTACCAGGCTGCTGAACTGGCTTTGCGAATATTTCATATGAAATTTTTCCTTTGCACCAATATTCCTGAGAGACATTGAGCTATAGTTTTCTATTCTCCTTCTATATATATTTCTATCCTGTTTCTATATACAGCAAGTCTGTCTGGCTTTGATATCAATGTACTACTTAGACACTGAGTTAAGAAACTGCTTCATCCCTTTTCTTTAAGTTTCTGGAAAAGTCTATAAAAGATTGATTGATTGATTTTGAGATGCCAGTGGAAGGTTATGTATTAAAAATAATTCTAATGAATGTATTGAAAGCAATCAGAAAATAAGAATTTTATATTCAGAATGAGGAGAAGCTTGACAGAGGGTGGGACTCCCAGATTAGTTTTTTTGTAACTTCCTTCCTTCCTTCCTTCCTTCCTTCCTTCCTTCTTTCCTTCCTTTCTTCCTTCTTTTCCTCCTCCCCTCCTCCCTTCCTTCTTTCCAGGTAGTTCATTGTAGTACTGGTTGGGTCTTCTGCTCTCCTAAATTCTCGTTGCAGGTTTGAAGGCTGAATCTGGCCTGCATCCCGTGGCCTAGCCAGCAATTCTTGCTCTTTTATCCTTTAGTTCTGGATAAGACTAGCAAGCATTTTCTCACAGCAATGCCTCAAAGTGAAATGTAGTTCCAGAATCAAAAGCTGCTTCCCAAATCAGCTACGCTTCATTTATTTTCACCCATTTGATCCACTCACTCCATGTTGATGTAAAAACATTAATGCTGATCTTAGGTCAACTTTTTAAGTCTTTTTAATTTTTCCCCTTTTATTTTCATTCATCCATCTATCTGCACTTGCAGCTCGCTCAGAACAATGCAGTCCAATGTAAACATAGCACAAGCCACACAGGTGGTTTTAAAAAGAAGAAAAGAGGCAGAGACATCCATCATGATGGTCTATTTTATGTAACCTAACTTGTAAAATGTGATTTCAATATTTAAATAAGAAAATTGTTAAAGGGATGTCTTACTTCATTTTTAATACATACTTTTTGAAATCCACTGTGTATTTTAAACTGATGATGTATCTCTGTTTGCACTGGCTGCATATCAAGTGCTTGATGGCCATGTATCTAGCAGTCAATATATTGGTAAATCTAGAGCTAGCTTATTTGGTCCTGAGGATGTAATGCCCAAAGGAGGGCAGCTCCCACCTGTGCCTAGTGGACAGAGGAGATCAATAAAACATTTAATAATGGTGTTGAGTACCTGGGGAGGAGCTGAGCATGAAGTGTTGGGAGCCCAGAAGACAGGCTCGGAGTCTGACCTGTGAGCCCAGGCCTCTGGCAACAGACACAGATTGTTTCACTAAATCTCATTTCTTTGAAGTCATCCCCTGTGGGAGGCCACTGAGCTGGAGTTTGGCACAGATCCCAGTCTGT